CAGTGAAGTTAAATCTTGTGAGTAAGTTCACATGAAAGTATTTAGAGTATTGGTTAATAATTATGGCCCTATAGTATGAACATACCATTATTTTTATTATCTTTAATTATTTTAGATAGGCTTTGATTGAGCTCCCTCATCACAATGAAAAATTATCTCAGCTTCATGATTTATCTCACCAATATTCTCTACTTCTTTCCTTGACCACTAATGATTATATTTTCCTGTTTTCTGCAGTCATAGATTAAAAATAAATTATGTGAAGAAATTTCATATTGACTTTGAAAGGTCTTTATTTTATCATGGCACTTAAGGGATGGAGCTGAGAGGTATAAAAATTATTTTGAGTATGTCTTGAGGTTATTTAAGTATTTCCTGTCTTCATTTTCTTTAGAGAATACTTATAGTTATTAGTATTTTACAGCATCCTTTTATTTTAGCAGAAAGACAATGCTCAGTGGTAGAAAGTCCCTCCATTCAGAACCTCTGTTCTGATCATAATTCTAAAGACATAGGAACAAATTACACCTTCACCTTTCAAAACACCTGTGTGTATTCATTATCTCCTATGCCATTTTCAAAAGATAGAGCTAGAAAAGTCACCGGAAATCAGGTTGCACTCAAGCTTGTCCTCTTTGCTTCCTCTCCCTGCACTGTGCAGTTCTTCTTTCTCTGTGTTCTGGCATAGAGACACGTGCACCAGTGTCTCTGACCATGTCTTTTGATGTGATTAATCACACACAATCTGAAGATTAACTCCAGTTAAATTGGCAAGAAATCTTCTGTTTCACTATATGGTAATTTGGAATGTATACAAACTCTGATGGATTCCTTCTTTTTATCATTTAATGCAGACAGGTGAAATATACAGCAAATCAAGGGCAGAACTCTATTGAAACTCAGATTTTCTTTGGTCTCACATTCTACAGTGATATGATGCCCTGTTACACTAAGGAACCTTGCAGAAGAATAATGTTGTCATTGGGGAATGCACATTTCTCTTCTTACTAAACATTTTGCTTTGATAATTTGAGTTTTGTTTTCCAGTTACAATACTCATTGATGTACTTTTGTAATCTAGATTTATTAACAAAACAAAATTGCTACTTCTATATTTGTTATTTTCTCTGCCTAGTATAGACTTCAAATTGAAATTACTGTTCATCCAAAAGCTACTGATCTAAATACAGACAGTATCTAATTTATGTCATCAATTTTGAGTGGTTATTTTTGTAAAATGAAGATTTTGCTTTGATTTAGCAATAGTCTCAAAAATGAGGCTTACTCATATTTTGATGTCAGAAAATGTCAAGTTCCACAAAGTTGCAGCACATATACCCTTCATGAAATCTCAAAAGCTTAGCATGTTACTTTACATAGAACATATATTCTGTGAATGATAGACAGATACATATTTTTGTTAATGAAACAGACATATTTTTAGATAGAAAACCTAGCAATGTTATACTGCCAGGAAATAAAACCCAAGAAGAGAGACAAAATCTTAAGAAGTCAGAAATAATTTGCTTCATGATATATTGCTTTTGTGTCAGCCAGTACAAAGAGCTAAAGAAGAGTAAGAGTGTGTGGTAATTAAAATCTTCAATTATTTTCTACAAGTACTCAAAGAATAAAAGAACTGCAAAGTTAGTGGTCCTCTTTTCTGGATTTTAGTAGATTATATTCTCATATTCTTAATACAAACTAGTAAAGAGGAAAAATCAACCAAATTTTTAAGTATTTAGAGGTACTCTACCATTTTCATAATTTTACCTTTCATCCATTGTCCTATACAGTCATTTTAGAATTTTTATAAATTTATTTTTCGGGTTTTCACATGATGCAAAGAGAGAATATCACCACAAATTTTATAATTTCCAGATAAAAAATATATATATGAATACTTGATTGTTTTCAACACGTTGCCAAATATCTTCTACCTCTCCGAAAATATTAAACCCATTCAAGACACATATACACCTTAAAGTAATCCTTTATTAATTTTAATTTTGTTACCTGGTTTTTAGTTCTTTTCTCAAAGTATATAAAAAATGGAATGCATTCTGGACATTTTTTTCCACTGGCACTTTGATATAACATATAATCATTTCTCTCAAAGTTTATGGAAATGATTTCACAAATGTCTTCTCTGTTTTTGCTCTGGCTATAGCAATGATAGGACTCAAAGCTATTGGTAGTGTGAGCTCATAAAATGACAATTCACGTATTTTATCCATTTTGCATAACTGCTCTCCATCTCGCCTTTCTAAACCCCTTACAAGTCCTACAAGTGTGATACTTTTATTCCCATCCATCACTATACTTCAATTAACCAAGCTGATCTTATTAAGTAAAATCACACTTTAGGACTTGGAAATTGCTATGCCCTTGGCCTTGAACAGCCTCCCTTTACATAGCCACATGTGCAACTTAATCAGTCACATCATTTTTCTCTTCATATTTCAGATTCTAGAGTTCTTGTTTGAAGAACCTCCACGTGGCCCATTGAGAGAGGGTTCCTAAAGGTATTCAATGTCTGACCCTGAGGGCCTGTGTATGCTGTCACCTGTGAGAAACGGGATTTATCAGGGGTGAGATAATCTAAAATCCTGAGAGTGAGAGATTATCCTAGATTACCTGAAAAGAAACTAAACATAATTGCAAAAGGTTTTTTTTTTGCAGTTAAACCTTAAGACTGAAGTTTTAATTTATTTATTTATTTATTTTACTTTTTTAAATTAAATTCTTTTATTGGTACATCGTAGGTATACAACACAATTACATTTCTCATTGGGAACTTGTACCTTTACATAATGGATCTTGCTTCTTATTTTTTCCCATTCCTAGCCCTCCCTTCACCCCCTCCACCCTTCTCTATTTACAAAGACTTTATTTCCATTTTTTCTATTTCTCAGCATTTTTCCTTTCCCTTCTTTCCTTTCCCCTGCCCCTCCCACTACCCCTACCCCTTT